CGCAGTCTCAGGCCCACAGCCTAGCTACGAGGGAGGCTGGAAAGACAAGTGTCACATTTCAGCTTCTGCAGCAGACAGCAGGCCCTGCTGCCCACCAAACAACCCTTCCCCAGAGTGGGCATATGTCAAGCTTTTATTCAACTCGGTGTTGAGGGAATCAGCATAACGCAGCTGATGCAAAGGAGGAGATGAGAGACTAATACTGGTGTCTGTCTGTCTGTTGTCAATGAAGATAAAGAATGCCAAAAGCAAACAGCTCTGTTAGATGCGAAAGTGGTTCATGCACTACAGTCAATACGACCATAACCTTTGGAGTCATCTTCTCTACTTGGTAGAGATCATTTGCATCTTATCTGTTTTCTCTAAGTTCAAAGACCCTGGGACCTAATGAATAATACATAATACGTCAAAGTTCCATTCTCTGAGAACAATGCCATCTAATAGAACTTCCTGCGGTAATGGAGATGTTTTGTGTCTGTGCTATCCACTAATGTCGCCATTAGCCAGTGCAGCTGTTGAGCACTCAAGATGTGGACACTGAGGAACTGAATTTTAAAAAAAAATTTTTTTTTAATTTGAAATGGAGTCTCACTGTGTTGCCCAGGCTGGAGTGCCGTGGTGCAATCTCCTCTCACTGCAACCTCTGCCTCCCAGGTTCAAGCGATTCGCCTGCCTCTGCCTCCCTAGTAGCTGGAACTACAGGTATGCACCACCACACCTGGCTAATTTTTGTATTTTTAGTAGAGATAAGGTTTTACCATGTTGGCCAGGCTAGTCTCAACTCCTGACCTCGGTGATCCACCAGCCTCAGCCTCCCAAAGTGCTGGGATTACAGGTATGAGCCACCGCCTATATGTATATATATATATTTTTTTTTTTTTTGAGACGGAGTCTCACTCTCGCCCAGGTTTTTTTTTTTTTTTTTTTTTTGAGACGGAGTCTCACTCTGTCGCCCAGGCTGGAGTGCAGTGGCCGGATCTCGGCTCACTGCAAGCTCTGCCTCCCGGGTTTACGCCATTCTCCTGCCTCAGCCTCCCGAGTAGCTGGGACTACAGGCGCCTGCTACATTGCCCGGCTAGTTTTTTTGTATTTTTTAGTAGAGACAGGGTTTCACTGTGTTAGCCAGGATGGTCTCGATCTCCTGACCTTGTGATCTGCCCGCCTGGGCCTCCCAAAGTGCTGGGATTACAGGCTTGAGCCACCGCGCCCGGCCTATATTTTTTTTAAGTAATTAAAAAAAAAAAAAAAGAGATGGGAAGGCCAGGTATGGTGGCTCACGCCTATAACCCCAGCACTTTGGGAGGCTGAGGTGGGTGGATCACTTGAGGTCAGGAGTTTGAGACTGGCCTGGCCAACATGGTGAAACCCCATCTCTACTAAAAATACAAAAATTAGCCAGATGTGGTGGTGCATGCCTGTAATCCCAGCTACTTGGGAGGCTGAGGCAGGAGAATTGCTTGAACCTGGGAGGTGGAGGTTGTAATGAGCCGAGATTACATCATTGCACTCTAGCCTGGGCAACAAAGGCAAAACTCTGTCTCAAAAAAAAAAACACCCACACATACACATATCGAGGTGGGCTCTCTCACCATGTTGAAATCTTGCCATGTTGCCCAGGCTGGTCTTGAGCTGATCACTCAAGTGATCCACCCACCTCAGCCTCCTAAAGCACTGGGATTACAGGGGTGAGCCATAGCACCTGACCTGTTTTAAGTAATTTTAGATTTATAGAAAAGTTATAGATAGTACAGAGACTTCCTGTATACCCTTCACCCAGCTTCTACTAAGTGGGAATTTCTTAAATAACTGTGCATATTTATAAAAACTAAGCGATTAACACTCATAGGATATCAATCACTAAACTACCAGCTGTCTGAATTTTCTCCATTTTTTTCACTAATGTCTGTTTTCTGGTCCAAGAGTCAGTCCAGGTTCCCACATTGTGCTTAGTGCTTGTATCTCCTTAGTCTTCAATCTGTGACCATTTTCTTAGCCTTTCCTTGTTTTTCATGACCCTGACACTTTTGAAGAGTGCCAGTCAAGGATTTTGTGAAATGACCCTAGGTTGGGCTTGGCAGGTGTTTTCTCCTGATGGGACTGGGATGGTGATTTTGGAAGATCACAGAGAAGTGAGGGAGGTAGCTTCTCATTGTGTCACGTGAGGGGCGCGTGCTATCCAAGTGTGGGCTCACTGGCCAGAGGTGATGTCTGAGACGCGTCTCCCCTGCCGCCTTGCTGCCTTGCTGTATTCTCTCTTGTGCTCTGTTCTTTAGAAGGGAGTCACCAAGTCCCACCCACCTTCAAGGGGAGGGGAGTTAAGCCCCTCCTCCTGGAGGGAGGAATATCGATTTTTTGTGGACATATGTTAAAGCCACCACCATGGTTTGAAGGGAGATTCTTTGAGGCTGTGCAGATTTCCTGTTTCTCCTTAAAGTTTCACCTGCTAACTTCAGCATTCTTCTGTGGATCCTGCCTGAGGCCGTTATTACTGTGGTATTCTAATGATGATTTTCTATTTCCCTCATTCCTCTGTATTTATGTTTTATTAATTAGAATTCTATAAGGAACATTTGTCCCTTTTCCCTCATTTATTTATCTCGTCAACCATTTATTTTTATCTTTATTTTTTGTTGGTTTTGTTTTTTGAGATAGGGTCTCACTCTGTTGCCCAGGCTGGAGTATAGTGACGCCATCTTGGCTCACTGCAACCTCTGTCTCCCAGATTCAAGCAAGTCGTACCTCAGCCTCCCAAGTAGCTGGGATTACAGGAGTGCGTCACTACACTCGGCTCGTTTTTGTATTTTTTGTGGAGATGGGATTTCGCCATGTTGCCCAGGCTGGTCTTGAACTCCTGACCTCAAGTAATGCTCCTGACTCAGCCTCCCAAAGTGCTGGAATTACAGGTGTGAGCCACCATGCCTGGCCCAACTATTTGTTTATATCACAGTGAACTTATGGGTATTTACCTTATTCTTTGAAAGGACATGTGGTCATCTTTTTGCCTTATTTCCCAGTTTTAGATAATTTTTCTAATATATGTAAAGGTGTTCTGATGTAGGACAGTCAAAAAGAGAGAGAGAAGTCCACTACACTGGATATTTTCTGGAAAGATCACCAAAACCTCGTCCTTGGAGACTAGGATATCTGGGGGCTTAAATGCCTGCTATGGGGCTGGGTGCAGTGGCTCACACCTGTAATCCCGGCACTTTGGGAGGCCGAGGCAGGCAGATCACAAGGTCAGGAGATCGAGACCATCCTGGCTAACATGGTGAAACCCCGTCTCTACTAAAATACTAAAAATACAAAAAATTAGCCAGACGTGGTGGCGGGCGCCTGTAATCCCAACTACTTGGGAGGCTGAGGCAGGAGAATCGCTTGAACCTGGAAGGCAGAGGTTGCAGTGAGCCGAGATCGCACCACTGCACTCTAGCCTAGGTGACAGAGTGAAACTCTCTAAAGGAAAAAAAAAAAAGTCTGCTAGGGGACTGCAGTAGAAATACGTGCGAGAATAAAAATGAGAAGCCCAAGACTGAAGTGCATGTCTCAGAGTCCTAACCACATCCCCCCTTGAGTGTGAACTTGTGCAAACCACACCTCTTTGGTCCTCAGTTTCCCCAGAGATAAGATGAAGATGTAGGTGCTGGTTGACTCAAGATTAGTGGTTCTCAAACTCTAGGGTGTGTTAGAATCCCCTGGAGGGCTCCACAAAGCCCAGATTGCTGTCTCCACCCACAGACCTTCCGATTCAGTAGGTCTGGGGTGAGACCTGATGATTGACATTTCTAAAATGTTGCCACGGGCTGTTGCTGCTGCTGCTGGCCCAGGGACCAGGCTTTGAGTCTGGGTGATCTCTAAGAAATCTTAACAGTTGTGGACTTAACAATGATTCAAATGACAAAATCTTTGGACCTGGCTGTGAAGAAGTCCCCTAGGCCCTGAAAACCCAGTGGGGAGTTGTGCAGAGGACACTGTAAGATTGCTGCATGCCGCACCTGGCATCGAGGGCCTGTGAGACCCAGCCACTGCCCGGGGAGGGTCAAAGGCTGGGTAAGGCGGAGAAGCCCAGGCTGGAATCTGGGCTCCACCCCTTAATAGCTGTGTGGCCTTGAGCAAGTGACTGACTGACTTCCTGCCTCAGTTTCCCTACCTATGAAAAGAGGATGGTACTTAACATGACCTGGCATAAAGAAAATGCTCAATGAGTATTTATTGCTCCTGGGATCTTGCTTTGTCTCTGGAGTGAGTGGTACTGTCCTAGCTCACTGCAGCCTCGAACTCCTGGGCTCAAGCAATCCTCCCACCTCAGCCTCCCAAGTAGCACACCACCATGCTGATTTTTTTGTTTTGATTTGGTTTGTTTTTTTTAGAGATGGGATCTTGCTATGTTGCCCAGGCTGGTCCTAAACTCTGGCCTCAAGCAGTCCTCCAGCCTTAGCTTCCCAAAGTGCTGGGATATCTGATCTGTGTTACAACTCTATGAGGCTGTGGCCATCACCATTGCCATTTCCAAACGAAACTAGCCACCATGCCCCGCCAAAGTCATTAGTTTTTTTCTCTTTCTTTTTTGAAATAGAGATGGGGTCTCACTATGTTGCCCAGGCTGGTCTTGAACTCCTGGGCTCAAGTGATCCTCCTGCCTTTATCTCCCAAAGTGCTGGGATTACAGGTGTGAGCCACAGTGCCCAGCTCAGGGTCATTATTTTTTATTGAGCCTGTCCAGTGGGAAGAAATGACAGTGGTAAAGTGATACCTCTTTCTAGAGCATGTCCATCCGCCCTCTGCCACAACACTACCCAGCTTGGAGTCCCATTTGCCAATGTCAAGCCCCTCACAAAATGCATCACAGATTATGAGAAAAATTCAATATAATTTATTAAATAGATTCCACGGGCTCCCGCAAGGAGCATTAACAACTTTTAGTACAATAAATATCAATAAATTAACATAGCTGCCACCTCCTGCCCTCACAAAGGTATCATAAGTAAGATTTAAGCCTCCTGAAGAAAAACATTCCATAAATACCAAGACTAATAATAACCTAATGTTTTTCAAGGTAATTCACAAATTTACATCTCAGCCCTCCCAGGACTAGCCCATCTGAGGGGTCACTGAGATTATTCACTGGAAAAATGTACTTAAGGAATCATGGCAGAGTTCCCACACTTAGCTGTCAGTCATCTTTTTAAGGCTCCTTAAGTTCCTGCCATTCCGAAAGGAAGAGATGGCCTTAAGTGGTGGCCTGCTGGGCTCCAGAAGTCAATGATTTTAATGCAAGGTCCATGCACTCTGAAAACTGTTGAGAAATAGTCAGGATGAAGCGTTTACATTCATGGGTGTCTGTTGGCACAGAAATGTTTGTTTCTGGTGCATCTTGAAATATGAGTTTGTCGAGGTGCTCTATGATCTCATCAATAACAGATTTGTTGTCTAACTGTCTGATTGTCTTGAGATATGCCCGGATGGCTGGGCTGTGGATGATGTTTGGCGGCTGGGCGTCAGGGGTGAGACACGGCAGCTTGTAATTCTGGGACACGAGCACCCCCTTGTCTTCCTTCACCTGTGGAATGAGGAGAAATGGTGAGTGTTGGGTTTGCAATAACAGCTGCAAGTCCTGACAGTGAATGTTTGCATGCTTCCTCCACAACCCGCCTGGTGGATATATTTATCTGATCAATGTCACAACCCTATGAGGCTGTGCCATCACTAACCCCATTTCCAGATGAAACTAGAGCTTAGGTGGCTGCAGTCCTGAAGCCTGTGCTCAGAACCACCGACCCATCCAGCTGAGGCCTCCCCAGCCTTCTAGAACCCACTCTCAGGTGCTCAGGGTGGTGGAAACTGCAGCACATCTGGCCTTCCATGGACTTCCGCCCTTTGTACTCTGTGTTAAAGCCACGTGCGCCCCACTTAGAGAGGACAGTGTTAGGCTTGTCCAGAAAGGCATCCAAGATACAGGGGAGAGTTTTCCCAAACAAACCAAGGAGTCTGGACCACTCCCTCCCTGCCCTTTTTCTAAGGACTAACCGTTTTTGAGTCAGACCAAATTGGCAGCAGCACCTCATCAACCTGAACTGCCCAGTCATCTTTGGTTGGTAACAACCTCTGCCTTTTATCAAAGCCAAGGCTAAAGTCTAAATGCCAAGGCAGATGAGAAGGGTAATGCCAATTTCATGAATTGCTTCCAAGTTTGGGTATTTGTTCGTTTGATCAAAGCTATCTTGACTGGGCACAGTGGCTCACGCCTGTAATCCCAGCACTTTGGGAGGCCGAGGCAAGCGGATCACTTGAGGCCAGGAGTTCGAGACCAGCCTGGCCAACATGGAGAAATTCCGTCTCTACTAAAAATATGAAAATTAGCCAGGCGTGGTGGCATGTGCCCTTACTCCCAGCTACTCGGGAGGCTGACGCAGGAGAATCGCTTGAACCCATGAAGCAGAGGTTGCAGTGAGCCAAGATCGCGCCACTGCACTCCAGCCTGGGTGACAGAGTGAGACTCTGTCTCAAAAAAAAAAAAAAAAAGCCATCTTCTCCTGTCTAGTTGCCCCCATCCCTTCCTGGCATAGCCACAGCCCTGGCTTCAGGTCTGGAGAGATGAGCCTCTTCGGAGGGCAATGGAAGGCATTTTTAAGAAATCGTTTAGAAAATAAATCTCTAGGGCACTCACGTCTTTCAAAAGCATCTTCGAGAGGGACTGTAATTCCTCGACTATTTTCTGTATATCACTTGGTTGTAGGAAATGGACGGGCAATGTGTGAGAGGTCAGCCAGCCTCCCAGGCAGCAGAGCAGAAACAGCACGGACGTCGCGGGGCCTGGAGAGAGAACGATGCCGTGAACGCATGCATCACACACCCCGTCCACCCCGGCTCCCCCTGCAGCTGTGCTGAGCCACCCCTGGGGGCAGTGCTTCCAGAATCTTCCTGGTGAGATAAGATGATGCCCAAGACTCCGGAAGCACCAGGACCAGCGATACCTGAGTGGGAGGCCATGGCGAGAGAGAGCAAGGCCAGCTTCGGTGGGGTCTTCTGGAGCCAGATGTGTTCGCCATGGCTGCCTGGAGATATATAAAGGGCCAGGGTGAGGAGGAAGAGCAGTCAGCGTCCCGCCCATGGCAAAACCATTTACTCAGCTTTTCTCCAGAAAACACACAAAGTTCTGCTGGCCACGGCTGAGTGAAAGGGCTGAAAGGAAATGCTGAGGTTACCCTCAAGGTGGGCAGATGCCTGACTCAGACATACACATACTTCACAAAAACACACATGCATGCATCTTTGCCTTTCTTCGTGGAAGGAACGTGTTGATTTGACTAGACAAACTTTTGAAGCCCAGGGTTGACAGACACAACCGTACCACCAAGGAGCGGGTGACTTCCAGGAGTTCAAGGCCAGCGCCCACAGGGAATTTCTGGGGAGGAAATGCGAAGCTGGCGTGAGATGTGCGGAATGCGGTATCTCTGGAAATTTCTGCAGTATATGCCCACGCCGGTGTGCAGGGACGGCCCTGTAACTGCTGTGAGTGTGGTGGGTCGAAGGCTTCATCTCAACTCCGTGTATCCTTGGACATCACTGGACTCTCCATCGTGCCTCTGCAATCTCAGGGCCCAGAACCAGAGGCTGTGCTCCAGAGTTATTGCTTGAAATCCTTGTTCATATCTTTTTTTTTTTTTTTTTTTTTGAGATGGAGTCTTGCTCTGTCACCCAGGCTGGAGTGCAGTGGCCTGATCATTGCAACCTCCGCATCCTGGGCTCAAGAAATTCTCATGCCTCAGTCTCAGCCTCCCAAGTAGCTGAGACTACAGGCACGTGCCACTATACCCAGCTAATTTTTGTATTTTTAGTAGAGATGGTGTTTCACCATGTTCGCCAGGCTGGTCTTGAACTCCCGACCTCAGGTGATCCGCACACCTCAGCCTCCCAAAGTGGTGGGATTACAGGCATGAGCCACCGCGCCCAGCCTGCCCGGCTAAGTTTTAAAATTTTTTCGTAGAGACAGGGTTTCACCATGTTGCCCAGGCTGGTCTCAAACTTCTGGGCTCATCCTCCCACCTTGGCCTCCCAAAGTGCTGAGATTACAGGCATGACGACTGCACCCGGCCTCCTTATTCATATTTTAGTGCCAGCTTTGATCAGGCCCTTTTCTAGGGTATTGGGAATAGTGGCGAAGAAGTTAGACAGGGTCCCCGCCCTTGTGGGCCCGGCATTGCAGTGGGCCGTGGCAGACAATAGCAACAACATTCATAAATAAGCTAGAAGGCACTGTGATGGTTGGAGAGTGACGGGCGGGATACTTTCAGTCAGGTGATCAGCAAAAGTCTCTCTGAGAGGTGACAACATTGAAGCAGAGACTGAAAGACAAGAAAGAGGCGGTCATGCGAAGACCTGGGAGAAGAGTGTTCCAAGGCGACAGGACAGGAGTGCAAAATCCTCAGGCGAAAATGAGCTTGATGCTGTTCCTAGAACGGGAAGAGGGTCATGGCAGCCTCGGTGATGAGAGAGGACAGGAGGGTGGTGGGGAGGCGGGCAGCGGCCCCATCACAGAGGCCTGAGGCTGGGACAAAGAGCCTGGGTTTATTCCACATGTGACAAGGCAGTGCTGGGCGACTTTCAGTAGGGAAACAAAGGATCGGATGCACTTTATTTTTTTCTTTTCTTAATTGTTTTGTCTTTTGTTTGTTTTGGAGAGGTGTCAAGGCCATCCTCCCACCTTGGCTTCCCAAAGTGCTGGGATTACAGGCATGAGTCACCATGCCTGGCCCTGAGGCACTTTATTTATTATTAGTAGTAGCATTTTTTTTTTTTCTTTTTGAGACAGAGTCTCACTTTGTCACCCAGGCAGGAGTGAAGCGGCGCAATCTCAGCTCACTGCAACCTCCACCCCCCATGTTCAAGTGATTCTCGTGCCTCAGCTTCCTGAGTAGCTGGGATTACAGGCATGTGCCGCCATGCCTGGCTAATTCTTGTGTTTTTAGTAGAGATGGAGCTTCACCATGTTGGGATGAGGTCAGTCTGGGCGGCCCATAGAACCCAAGATGCACAGAGGGACATACCAGGAAGCCTCCCACCCATCCTCCCAAGTCCCCCTACTGCCAGCCACCACTGACTTTTTCTTTACTTCCCAAACCACCACAATATGGCTTTCAGCACCCCACTAATTTAATCAAAATCCTCCAGCAGAGTCCATGGTGGGCATGACCTTCATCTGCAGGTGTTTACTGCCATAATTATATTGCATTGCACGACAAAAGGGATTTTGTAGGTATGGTCATGGTTACCATTCAGTTTACCTAAAATAGATTTTCCTGGGTTCCCTGGGCTGCCCCAACACAATCCCACAAGCCCATCAAGCAGAAGAGGAGGTCAGAGGGATTCCGAGCGAGAGAAGAGCTCACCTGCTGTTGCTGGCTTGAAGATGGTGGGGGCAGCGTGGAAAGCACGGGAAGGAAATAATTTGGTCAATAACCACTGAGCTTGGAAGTGGATGCTGAGACCTAAATGAGAACCCTAGCCAGCCAGCACCTTTATTTTAGTTCAGTGAGTTCCTGAGCAAATAATCTATCCATGGCATGCTAGACTTTGACCTACAGATGCTATGAGAAAGAAAATGTGTGTGTGTGTGCGTGTGTTTAATAGACAGGACCTTGCTCTCTCATCCAGGCTGGAGTGCAGTGGTATGATCACAGCTCACTGCAGCCTTGACCTCCCAGACTCAAGTAGCCCTCTTACCCTAGCCTCCCAAGTAGCTGGGACTATAGGCCTCCACCACCATGCCTGGCTAATTTTTGTATTTTTTGTAGCGATGGGGTCTCACCATGTTGCCCAGGCTGGTGTTGAACTCCTGGGCTCAAGCAATCCCACCTCACCTTCCCAAAGTGCTGGGATCATAGGCATGAGCCACTGCACGTGGCCACATTTGTGGTTTTATTTATTTATTATTTTGAGATGGAGTGTGGCTCTGTTGCCCAGGATGGAGTGCAGTGGCATGATCTTGGCTCACTGCAACCTCTGCCTCCTGGGTTCAAGCAATTCTCTTGTCTCAATCTCCCAAGTAACTGGGATTACAGGCGCGTGCCACCATGCCTGGCTAATTTTTGTATTTTTTTGTAGAGATGGGGTTTCACCATGTTGGCCAGGCTGGTCTTGAACTCCTGACCTCAAGTGATCCACCCACCTTTGCCTCCCAAAGTGCTAGGATTACAGGTGGGAGCCACCACGCCTGGCTGCATTTGTGGTTTTAAACTGCTGTTTGTGATATTTGTTATGGCAGCAATAGAGAACTAATACGGTACCCAGAGACCACATGTTGTCAGCCTTCCCGGGGTTTCAGCCTTCATTTTACATAACCCATCTATAGCATGAAACATTGCCAACCACTTCCACTTTCTTGACAACCTCTTGTTCCTCTCCTAAAACAACTTCATCCTGATCCATTTTGCCCCTCTCCCCAGCTCCATGGACTCTACCCGTGATCTGGATTCCTCATACTTTAGTGTATGTCTCCTTCACACTCCAGACCTAAATGTCCACCTCAATGTCCCACTGATACCTCAAAATCAACATGCCCAAAGGTGGGCGTGAGAACAGGGTAATAGTGACAGTGGAGATGAAGAGGTGTGGATGGATTGTAGAAATGTTTAGGAGGGAAAATACATAAGAGGTGACTTTTTTGTTGTTGTGTTTTGTTTTGTTTTGTTTTTGAGACAGCATCTCGCTCTGTCACCTGGGCTGGAGTGCAGTGGCACGATCTCAGCTCACCACAACCTTTACCTCCTGGGTTCAAGCGATTCTCCTGTCTCAGCCTCCTGAGTAGCTGGGATTACAGGTGTGAGCCACCACACTTGGCCTTTTTTTTTTTTTTTTTTTTTGTATTTTTAGTAGAGATGGGGTTTTGCCATGTTGGCCAGGCTGGTCTTGAACTCCTGACCTTGTGATTCACCTGCCTCGGCCTCCCAAGGTGCTGGGATTACAGGTATGAGCCATGGCGCCAGGCCAGAAGTGGTGTTTGATTGGATATGGGGATAGTGGAGAGGAAAGAGTTGAGGACAACTTCTAGGTTTTTGGTTTGGGCAACTGGAAGAATGACATTGGTACAAACTGAGAGGATTACAGGCCTAAGGCCTTTGGGGATTGGGTAAGGTGATGAATTCTAGCTCTTTGCTTGTTGGTTGGCTGGTTTTGTTTTGTTTTGTTTTGTTTTCTTTAAGAGGCAAGGTCTCACTCTGTCACCTAGGCTAGAGTGCAGTGGTGTGATCACAGCTCACTGCAGCCTCAAACTCCTAGGCTCAAGAGATCCTTCTGCCTCAGCCTCCTGAGTAGCTGGGGCTACAGGCACACAGCACACCACCATGCCTGGCTAACTTTTTAATTTTAACTTTTTGTAGAATTAGGATCTTGCTCTGTTGTCTAGGCTGGTCTTGAACTCCAGGGCTCAAGCAATCCACCCACCTTGGCCTCCCAAAGTGCTGGGACTATAGGTGCGAGCCACACACCCGGCCTGATTCAGCTTTTGACACAGTGAATGGGAAGCGTTATGGATGCTCAGCGGAAGACATACAGCAGGCCATCGGACGTGTGCATCTGGAGCGTGAAGGAGGGAACTACAGACGTAAATGTGGGTGCCATCAAGGTATTGTGGCAGATAAAACTATAAGCCAGTAAGAGACGAGCAGTGTGAGGTGTGGAAGTCAAGCATGGAGCCCTGGGACATGCCTCCATTAACAGGACAAGGAGAAGATGATTTAATCTAGAACATGGAGAAGGCACTCTCAAGAGAAAAAGAAGGCTGGGCGCGGTGGCTCACACCTGTAATCCCAGCACTTTGGGAGGCCAAGGCAGGCGGATCACGAGGTCAGAAGGTCGAGACCATCCTGGCCAACATGGTGAAACCCCATCTCCACTAAAAACACAAAAATTAGCCAGGTGTGGTGGTGTGTGCCTGTCGTCCCAGCTACTTGGGAGACTGCGGCAGGAGAATTGCTTGAACCCAGAAGGCGGAGGTTGCAGTGAGCTGAGATCGCGCCACTGACCTCCAGCTCGGTGACAGAGTGAGACTCCATCTCAAAAAAAAAAGAGAAAGAAAAGTAACCAGAAACACATGCTGTCATGGAATAAGAT